ACTTGGTAGCCCAGGCTGGCCTCGAACTCACAGAGATCCACCTGGCTCTGCCTCCCGAGTGCTGGGATTAAAGGCGTGCGCCACCACCGCCCGGCTAAAAAATTCTTAAAAGCTTATCTCTTACCCATTGTATTCTCAACTGTTCGTACACAGTGGGTAGAGTTGGTGTCCTAAAGAGAGCTCTTTGCATTTCTCCTGTGTAGCAGCCAGTGGAAGCTAGGACTCCGATGGGTCACAGTACCTGACATGGGGCTTAAACGGAAAAGATTATGTTTTCGTGTTGAATTGAAGTGCTTATTGTCCTGAGAGTTTTAGCCTTTAAGCACACCTCTGACATTGACTATTGTTAGTCCTTCTCTTCACGTAGCATGTAACACAGACAGGAAAAGCCAAAGGAGAACAAATCAACACCAATAAAAATGTAATAGTATTTCTGTTTATCAATAGGAGTAGTAAAAATTATAACATCCCCAGGATGAGTGAATTCAACAAGATTTTCCTTGCTGTGTGAAATCACTGGGGTCTAGCATTATAGAGGAGATGTAGAGAATTGTTCTGATGGATGAGAAGATGTGTAACAACATCATCCCAAGTGTATCCTTGCCCTAGTTGTGGATGCCATGAAATTCCCAGCAGAGTTTTGGTTTGTCTTGACAAAAGTTTCCTAACTTTACCAGGAAGAGCAAGATGATAATAGTCAGAAGAAACATGAAGAATGAAGTTTATAGTTGGGTGAGTTAAGACAGACAGCAAGGATTCTTCACAGAAAGGAAGTGATATGTTCATTCAAGGCAGGTAGATGTGGAACCAGAGCAGACAGATATGATAGGAGCCATGCAAAACTAAGTCTAGCAGAGAAGTTGACAGAAAGGAAATGCCTGTAACCACAACTGACTGTACTTGTAGTTGGTGAGAGAGGATGAAGCCCACAGCACATTCTATTCCGCAGTCAAGTTGAGGCCAATTAAGTAACTAAAAGTAGAGGTGGGGGGGGGGTACAGTTTCTCTTTGGAGAAGTGAGAGTCTCCGTGCTTTCAAGCTAAGACAAAATTCTTTACTAAGGCATTGCATAACCCTAAAGGCAATTGATAAGTTTGCATATAAATACATTTCTGTATAAATATACCAAGTGACAGGAAACACTGAATGGCACTTCAGCCCAGGGGGTGGGAGGGTTCAATGCATGTAATATGCATAGTATTATTGTCATAAAAAAGACAATGTCAAATAGCAAAGGTAGCATCGAGCCTGGACAGGCAATTTGCAGAAACATCAAGCATGCTGTCTTCCTTCTGATTGTGGACACTCATTTCACATGAAAACTAAGGAAACCAACTGAGTGGAAATCAAGGAAGCCGATGCTCTGAGGGAGGTTTCGGGGAACACAAGGGCACAGTCCCTCTTTCAAGTGTGTCCAAGTGCAATGTTCATCTTCCCTCTTGGCACACACACAGCACTTGGGAGTCTGTGGTGAGCAGGCCTGGGGTGTGCAGCTCTCCGGCAGTGCAGTACAAAGGCCGTTCCCTTCCTGGGAGAGAGTGGATCAGCTTGTCTCCAGGCAAGCATGGAGCCCCACAGGAGCATGCAGGGGGCCTTCCCAGTGCTTTCCCCCAAACCACCCCCTTCTCCTCCCATCCTACGCCCAGAACCAAGTTCAATGTGTGAGGTTATTTTTAAGAAGCCCTCTTAGACAATTTGGCTGAACAGGACCAAGATACTATGCTGATCCTTCTTGCTTCCTAATTTCTGATACACATCTTAGGATTGCACGTATGTGGGACCCAGAGCTGCCAATTCCTTACAGAGGACCTAATGTATAGAATAGAAGATTAGCTGTGCCTTTCCTTGACCTCTTACTTCTCTCTGGCAAAGAGGATTTGTCGTTCCTGTTTGATTATCTCATTCCTAACATAAGCTGCTTATTTTTTATGTGGCAGTTGCTAAAAGCACTCCATGTATTTCTTAGCAGCACCGACAGGAAGGGCCACACTTTCCTTTGAAAATGGCTCATTTTATAATACTTAAAAGTACACTCAACAATTTCTAAGAAACACTTCTTCATTGTGGAAAAACATGTAAAATAAATTTATTGTTCTAACCATCAGAAGTGTATAATTTGATTTTATTCATAGTGTTGTACAACCACCATCATTATCTATTTCCAAAATTTACTTAGCACTCCACAGAAACTCTGAGCCAATTAAACAATAAATCCTCCTACCTCTTATAATCACTAGTCTACGTGCTGTCTTTCTGAATTTCAAGGTTTGTCCATGTTAGCTTGTATTATTGCCCCATATCTTGTATTACTAAATAATACTCTTGCTATGTTGACTTCCATTTGTCTCTGGATGGACATTTCTTTGATTTGCCTCTACCTTGTCACCATTAGTAGGGCTCTTGTCGCCATTAGCATGCAAGTGTCCAAATCTCTAGACTTCAAGTCTTGTTGGTTTATACTTAGGGGTGGAATTGCCAGAATTTCCCTTACTTCCATCCAAATGCCTAAGCACCCTTGTTAGAGTTGGGATGTTAAAAGTAGGAGAACCATCCCTAGTTCTTTCCCCACAAAATCTCTAATGTCTGCATTCCTTCTGCACTATGGAAAATGAAACAGCTCTTGCCATACCAGATAATGATACTTATAAGTCACAATGGTTGTTCCATGGTATCAGATAACATGAGGAGTTATAAACTGTTAAATTTGACATGATTCCTTGGCTCAGTCTTCTACTTATGTGTTTATGTGACTTCTGTGTTCTAAAAATAGGTTCTAGAAATAGTGAGAACTTTGGATTCATATTTTAGTTCATCAAATCCATCTCACTAGCCTACGTGATAGAAATTGTTACCAGGGCCATATTTATAGGAAGGACAGAGGCCTGAGGTAGGAGCAATGTCTAGACCCCACCCTTTTGAGGGCCGGGGCTAGACTTGAACCCAGGCTGGTGGATTCCATCTGTTGAGCCTTTCGTCCCTCTGTTCTTTATGGCCTGCATGTTGGAACTTGGTCCTTATCCGCCATTTTCCTTCATTTTTGATTCTTGGGTTTTTCTGTGGCTCACACTGAGATTGTGACCATGGGCTTGGGAGCAGCTGAGAAGATCTATCCCTCCTGTCTCCTCTGCACAGTGAACACTGGCTTCCCATTAATTGTGTTTCTTCCCTCCTTCCCACTTTGAAGATCATTTATCTTCATAAGGAAGATGGGAACAAAAAGGCATTGAGGAGCTTGCATTCTCTGTCTTTGGCTAGTGTCAAGCAAGCAGCCGACCTCTTCCTCCTGGTCCTTATTTGGAGCAGAATTGAAAAAGCCATTGTCATCCTTTGCCATCTTTCAAGTTTCAGCTATTCTGGGCCTTGCTTTGCTGATGCTCTGCCAGTTCACGCCACTCTTTTGTCTGGTCCCTTTGAGCAGATAATTGGGCTCCATTAATGTTTCATGTCTCCTCGCTGTCAGGATACTCGAGGTTCAGTAAAGGGCTTTAGCCCAGCAATCTTCCTGTTGCCGTGGCAGGTTTGCTTTCATTCTGCTTGCTTGCTGGGTAGTTCTCCTGTGACTTCATTCATTCATCCCTTCCTCCTTCATCATACAAGTGTCTAT